CGTGGGGCCCCTCGGGGGCCCCCGTGGGGGGTTTGGGTTTAGTTGGAATGCCCAAGTCTGCTGCTGCTTTGGCAACAATAGAGAGTTTGACTTCGTAGCTGTTGATGAGCAGCAGCCACTCTTTGAGGACTTTTTGTCTTTCTTGTTCGAGCCAGGGCCTGTGCTGCTGCTGCTGCTGCTGCTGCTGCTGCTGCTGCTGCTGCTGCTGCAGCCCCGCGATCTCCACTGCAGCAAGGGAGGAAGCGCTGGCTGCGTTGCTGGCAGCAAAGTCCAGCTCGAGCTGCTGCAGCTGCTGCTGCAGCTGCTGCGCGGGGCTGCTGCAGCCGGGGGCCCCGGGGGCCCCGGGGGCCCCCGCGCCCCGCAGCGAGCTGCGAGCAGCAGCAGCAGTTGCTGCAACTGCTGCTTCACTTGCTGCTGCTGCTGCTGCTTCAATTGCTGCATAAAGATCTCCATACATTGCGTCAGCTCGCTGCAGCGAGTCGAGGACTTCAGCAGAAAGCTGCGCAGTGTTGCTGTCGCTGGTTTCGATTTCGTTCAGCGCTGTTGCTGTTGCTGCTGCAGCAGCAGCAGCAGCAGCAGCAGCAGCAGCGGCCTCCGCGTCCTCGGGGGCTGCTGCTGCTGCTGCTGCTGCAGCGGCCTCGCCGGCAGCAGCGGCTGCGGGCGCCTCCGCCTCGGCGGGCTCCTCTGCTGCTGCTTCCTCTTCTGCTGCTGCAGCAGCAGCAGCAGCAGCAGCAGCAGGCTCCGGCTCTGCTTCCTCAGCAGCAACTGGGATCTCCAGAGTGACAGCTTCGCTGCTGCTCACCAGCTCCTCACGGGGCGCAACAGCAGGCGTCTCCTCAGCTGCGCCCTGCTGCTGCTGCTGCTCCTGCTGCTGCTGCTGCTCCTGCTGCTGCTGCTGCTGCTCGGGCTCCTCGGGAACAGCGGGCTGCTCCTGCTGCTGCTGGCCCTGCTCCTGCTGCTGCTGCTCCTGCTCCTGCTGCTGCTGCTGGCCCTGCTCCTGCTGCTGCTGCTGCTGGCCCTGCTGCTGCTGCTGCTGGCCCTGCTGCTGCTGCTGCTGTCCCTGCTGCTGCTGCTGCTGTTCCTGCTGCTGCTGCTGGTCCTGCTGCTGCTGCATGGCGTTGAGGGCCTCGAGGAGAGCCTGGGCCTCGTCCATGACCACAACGACAGTTTGGGAGTCTGCTGCAGGGGCGAGCTGGGCCTGCAGCAGGACTTGCTGCAGCGGGCTGCTGCTGCTGCTGCTGCTGCTGCTGCTGCTGTGCTGCTGCGGGGCGAGCAGCTGCTGCAGCCAGCGGGAGAAGGCAGCCCAGGTGTCTTGCATGTCTTGCTGATTCATCTTGGAAACTTCCTGCTGCCGCCTCGATCTCCTTTTTGCTGCTTCTGCTGCTTCTTTCCAAAGAGCCACCAACTCTTGGTAAGAAGCTTGCAGCTTTTCTTTGCTGCTTTGCTGCTGCGCCTTCACCTGTTCCTGCCACAGCAGCAGCCGCGCGTTCGCGGTGGTGCTGGCGGTGGTGGTGGTCGTGCTGCTGCTGCTGCTGCTGCTGCTGCTGCTGCTGCTGCTGGTCAGCGGCACCACCAGAAACGGGTAAAACCCACGCGGAGAGCCCTCCTCTGCAGCAGCAGCTTCTTGCGCTGCTGCCCGCGGGGGCAGGTCCGCAAGGGCGCAGCAGCCTGCAGCAGCAGCAGCAGCAGCAGCAGCAGCAGCAGCGGGGCTAAGGCAGCAGCAGCAGCAGCAGCAGCAGCAGCAGCGGGGCTAAGGCGGCGGCAGCAGCAGCACGGCTACTTTGGGGGGCCCCACGGGAGGCCGGCGCTGGGGTGTACGTACACCCGGGAAACGTACCTGCGAAGGCTGCTGCAGCAAGAAGGACCCTTTTGGAAAGCATTTTGCTGCTGCTGCTGCTGCTGCTTCCTTATTTGCTGCTGGATGTACCTGGGGGGAAAAGCTGCGCCGCGAGGCGAGAACTGCAGAGCCTGTTGGCTCCGGACCTGCTGAGAACCTGAGAGGAAGTGAACCTGAAATGTTTTCTTCTAATGCAGCAGTTTGCTGCTGCTGCTGCAGCAGCTTGCTGCTGCAGCAGCAGCAGCGCGGGCGCGGCCCGCGGGGAGACGCGCGGTGTACGTACACCGCAGCTCCTGCGGTGTCGCGCCGTCCTCAGGCGGCGCTCGCTCGCCTCGCGCTCTCCGGCCGCGCTTTTTTTCGCTCCAAACGCCTTAAATTATCTATTTTTTAATTTGCTTTCTATTTTTTCCTTCTTTTTGCGTTTTTCCCGAAAAAATCCCCGCAAAAACGCGCGCCGGCCGCCCCCCGGCGCCCGCGGGTCACCTGCGCCGCCGGCGCGTCGGCGCTGCGCTGCTGCTGAAATGAAACCCAAAACGAAGCAAAAGACAAACTTTAATTCATTTATTTCGTTCAGTTTTATTCATAAAATAAAAATAAAATACTTTTGTGCGCATTCTTTTTTTCCCGCGGAGTCCGCCGCCGTCTTAGCACGAGGTGTCTAGACACCCGGACCCTCGGCGCTCGCCGCGGCTCCGGACTTCCGCGGATTTTCGCGGAGAAAAGAACCGCCAGAACTTCTTTTTTCTGAAATAATTTATTTAATTGATTTAAATGACAAATAAAAAGCTTAAAATATGCATTTCGCGGTTTTATTGCGCTCCGCTGCGCAGCCCGTTCCCGCAAAGGCCGTCTCGGGCTCTCGCCCGAGACGGCGGCGCTCGCTGCTGCTTCTTTTTGTCCTTTTTGCCATTTTAAATGCCATTTGAAACTAAAAAGGTATTTTAAATCCAAAAAATCCACTTTTGCGAAACTCAGGCAGCCATTTGGGCCCTTTGGGGGCCTGGGCTGCAGCGAAAAGACCCCAAGGAGGAAATTTCACACAAACAGCAGCAAATGCGACGCAGCTGCAGCGCAGCAGCTGCTGCTTGCTGCTGCTTGCTGCTGCTTGCTGCTGCTTGCTGCTGCTTGCTGCTGCTAGTTGCTGCAACCTTCTTCTGTTTGCTGCTGCTGCTGCCAGCTGCCGCCAGCTGCTTCCAGCTGCTGCAGGCTGCTGCTGTGTGCTGCTAGGTGCTGTCAGCAGCTCTTAGTTGCTGCTGTTGGCTGAAGCGCAGCAGCTGCAGCTTGCTGCTGCAGCATGCTGCTGCAGCATGCTGCTGCTGCTAGCTGCTGCAGCATGCTGCTGCTGCTAGCTGCTGCAGCTTGCTGCTGCAGCAAGCTGCCGCAACAAGCTGCTGCTGATTTTTGCTGCTGCAGCCATAAAATGTTCGGAAATTAAAAAATTTATTTTTTGAAAAAATAAATTAAATGCTGTCCCGCTGCTGCTGCTTTTTGCTTCTTCTTTTTTATTTATTTTATTTTATTTTATTTTATTTTATTTTATTTTATTTTATTTTATTTTATTTTATTTTTATTTTTATTTAAATTCTTTTTCTTCTTTTCACTTTTCTTTTGCTTCTTCTTTCCCCTCATTGTGCTTTTCTTTTTTATTTCTTTTCATATTTTTATTAAATTCATTTTTTATTTTTTATTTTATTTTTATTTTTTTAAATCTTTTTCTCTTTCCTCTGTCTCGTAACAATTGCAGTCCAAAAAGGACACTAAAGTACATTAACAGCAGCAGCAGCAGCTGCTGCTGCTGCTGCTGCTGCTGTTGCTGCTGCGCCAGCAGCAGCTGCAACGGCTGCTGTGGCACATTTGAGTGCACTAACGGGCGCTGCAGCAGCTGCTCCAGCTGCAGCAGCTGCAGCAGCCGCAGCAGCTGCTGCAGCTGCAGCAGCAGCAGCTGCAGCAGCAGCTGCAGCAGCTGTGGGGCCCGCAGCACAAGCAGCGTGGGAGCTGCAGCAGGGCTGCATGCACTGCATGCGTTTGGGGCTGTCTTGCTGCTGCTGCAGCAGTTCAAGGGCCCCATTTGCTGCTGCTTGAGGCCTCCTAAGCAGCAGCAAAACAGAAAAATTAAAAACAGCAAAATGGCCCAAAGTGGGGGGCCCCTGGGGGCCCCCCGCTGAGTGGCATTTGGCCCTTAGGCGGCCAAAATAGGGCCCCAGCTACATCTAAGCAGCAGCAGCAGCAGCAGCAGCAGCAGCAGCAGCTGCTGCTGCTGCTGCAGCAGCAGCAGCTGTTTCCCTTAGCTGAGAGGGGCCCCTGGGATTGGGTGGGGCCCCCAGCAAACTCTAGGCGGGACTTTTGCTGCAAGAACTGCTGTGGGGCCCCCTGGGGTTTTGCTGCTGGGGGGCCCCCTGGGGTTTTGCTGCTGTGGGGCCCCCTGGGGTTTGCTGCTGGGGGCCCCCCGGGGTTTTGCTGCTGTGGGGCCCTGGCTGTGTGCGTCTCAGCTAGCTGCAGAGTTGCTGCTGCTGCTGCTGGGGTGGGGCTAGCTGCAGCAGCAGCTGCAGCGCAGCAGCTGCGCGCGGCTGTTGGTGCTGCTGCCAGCAGCAGCCGAGAGCTCCAGCTGCTGCTGCTGCTGCTGCTGCTGCTGCTGCTGCTGCTGCTGCCCAAGAGTTTCAGACTAACTAAAGGATGAATTTGAATTAATTAGCCAATTAAAATTTCGGCGAATTTCAAAGGGAAAGAATAAAGGGCTGCTGCTGCTGCTGCTGCTGCTGCGCAGCGCAGCAGCAGCAGCAGACCCCTCACTGCCCACTGCGTGGGTGCAGCAGACTGCGGCTGCAGCAGAAGCTGCAGCAGCAAAGTGAAATTAAAATTAAAAAATTAATTTAAATTAAAATAATTGTTTTATTATTTGCTGCTGAGGCTGGGGAGCTCGGGGCGCAGCAGCAGCTGCCGTTCCAGCAGCCGCCGCAGCAGCAACGGCAGCCGGAACAGGAGCAGCAGCAGCAGCAGCAGCAGCAGCAGCAGCAGCAGCAGCAGCAGCAGCAGGAGTGGCTGCAGCTTCCAGCGCGTCGATTGACTGGTGCTTCTCGTGGTTAAGGGAAATGAAAGAAATATGTTTTGTTTTCTGTGTTTGTGTTTTTAACTAGTTTTCGCCGGAGTTTTGTTGCTGCTGCAGTTGCTGCTGCAGTTGCTGCTGCTGCTGCTGCTGCTGCTGCTGCAGCAGGTGGTGGTTGCTGGCTTGCGTCGTGAGGGGAGCAGCAAAACCTCTTTTTCTTTTCTTTTATTTATTTAGAAGCAGCGCAGCAGCAGCAGCAAAAGAGTTTGTCTCCATTCCCGGCTAAGTCCGCGGCCGCTGTGGGCGGCGGCTGCTGCTGTCGGTGGGCGTTGCTGCTGCTGCTGCTGCTGCTGCTGCTGCAGTTGCTGCTGCTGCTGCAGCTGCCGCTGCCGCTGGCCTTTTGCTGCCGTTTTTCGCGGCGCTTGTCTCTCCTTTGCGCTGTGTTGCAGCAGCAGCAGCAGCTGCTGCTGCTGCTGCAGCTCCGGGGCGCCAGCAGCAGCCGCGGCGTGTGTCTGTCTCCCGCCGGCGGCGCAGGGTTTAGGGTTTAGGGTTTAGGGTTTAGGGTTTGGGTTTTTTCGGGTTTTTTCTGCTGCCGCGCTGGCGGTCCGGGGTGTACGTACACCTCGAGAAGTGCTGCTGCTGGCCAGCAGCAGCAGCAGCAGCAGCAGCAGCAGCAGCAGCAGCAGAGTTGTGAAGAAGGAGTTCGCAGCAAAGGCGCCTTTCCGGGAGCTGCTTGACTTGCTGCTGCTGCGGAGCTGCGGCGGAGAGCGGCTGCTGCTGCTGCTGCTGCTGCTGCTGCTGTATTGGGGTGTCTCGGGGCGGTTTGAAGCCGGAAAAGGCGGGAATTTCGCGGAAATAAATAAAAATAAATAAAATAAAATAAAATAGAATAAAAATAAATAAAAAGGAAGCAAAAAGGAGCCGAAAGAAGCAAGTTGGAGGCAAGATGCGCGTGCGGCACCTGCACAGCTTCCTGCAGCAGCGGCAGCTGCTGCAGTGCAGCAGCACGGAAGAACTTGTGGGGCGGCGGCTGGGGATCGACGGGGCTTACTTCTTGCGGTGTCTGTCCACCTGCGGGGAGGGTTTGCTGCAGCTGGCGGGGGAGACTCGTGCTGCAGTGGCAGCAGCAGCGCGGCAGCAGCTGCAGCAGCTGCAGCAGCAGCAGATCACGCCGGTCTTCGTCTTCCGCGGCGTCGAGCCGCAGGGCCACCGCCTCTTCATGCAGCAGGAGTCGCAGCGGGAGGTGTGGGAGCGGTACTACAGCGGGGGAGCAGCAGCAGCAGCAGCAGCAGCAGCAGCAGCAGCAGCGAACTGCTGCTGCAGCAGCCCCGCGCCGTCCACGGCGACGGGCCCCAGCACGGCCTCGGGGGGCGCGCCCGCGAGCAGCAACGGCAGCAGCAGCAGCAGCAGCAGCAGCAGCGGGGGGGGCTGCAGCCTGGGGGGCTGCAGCTGCAGCAGCAGCCGCGGCAGCAGCAGCGGCGAACTCGAGAGCTTCCTGCTGCAGCTGCTGCAGCAGGAAGGCCAGGAAGTGCTGCGGGCCCCCTACCTCGCGCTGCCGCAGCTCGCCTACCTGCTGCAGCAGGGCCTCCTCGATGCTGCTGTGGGGCCCCCCTCGCTGCTGCTGTTTGGGGCCCCCAAAGTCATTTGCTGCGTCGACTTTGCGCAAAGTTGCTTCCTGTGGCTGTCTCGGGGGCCCCTGCTGCTGGCCCTCGGGGTGTCTGCTGAGCAGCTGCAAGACGCATGCCTTTTGGCCGGGACGGACTACTGCTTGACTTTTCCCTACTTGAATCTGCAGCAGTTCTGCTGCAGCAGCAGCAGCAGCAGCAGCAGCAGCAGCAGCAGCAGCAGCAGCAGCGGCGGCGGGTTCTCCTTCGGCTCCGCAGTCGAGTTCATCCGCCAGGCACCCATCAGCAGCTACCTGCAGCAGTTCCCCACTGACAACATGCGCGCAGAACACATCGACGGGTCCTGCTGCTGCTGCTGCTGCTCCTGCTGCTCCTGCTGCTCCTGCTGCTCCTGCTGCTCCTGCTGCTGCTGATGCTGCTGATGCTGATGGTGGTGGTGATGTGATGATGTGGCTGCTGCGGGAGGGGGCCGGCGTGCTGCGTGCTGCTGCTCTTGCTGCTGCTGGAGGTGATGGGGGGCTCCTGGCAGTTGTCCTGCTGCTGCTGCTGCTGCTGCTGCTGCTGCTGCTGCTGCTGCTGCTGGGTCTCATTGCGGGTTGCTGCAGCGCGTTGGCTCGTGTCTGCTTTTTGTTGATGTATTCCCATTTGCTGGTTTTGCCTTTCTTCTAATTCTCTCATTTGCTTCTTTTCCAACTCTGCTGCTGCTGCTGCTGCTGCTGCTGCTGCTGCTGCTGCTGCTGCAGGTACTGCGTGGGGAAGTGCCTGCTGGCGCACCCGCTGGTGCTGAAGGAGACGGGCCGCGTGGAGTTCTTTCAGCCGGCGCTGCAGCAGCAGCAGCAGCAAGCAGCAGCAGCAGCAGCAGCAGCAGCAGCGGGAGCAGCAGGGGGCCCCCCCGGGGGAGGCTCTCCGCACTCGCCGCACCCGCCGCCGCAGCAGCAGCAGCAGCTGCAGCAGCAGCTGCAGCAGCAGCGGCTGCTGCTGCCGCCGAAGGACTTCAGCGCGATTGTGGGGCTGCGGCTGCCGCCCGCGGTGTACATACACCTCGCCGAGGGGCTGCTGCCGCGTGCTGCTGCTGCTGCTCTCGCCCAAGGCGAATATAACTTCGAAGCAGCAGCAGTGGATTCTCAAGAACTTGCTGAGGCTTTTGCAGAAACCATTCAGTACAGATGCAAGGCCCTTTGTCAGCCTCCTGCTGCTGCTGCTGCTGCTGCTGCTGCTGTGGCTGCTGCTGCTGCTGCTGCTGCTGCTGCTGCTGCTGCTGATGATGATGATGAGGAGGAGGCGGCCGGTGCTGCTGCTGTTGCTGCTTTGGTTCTGCTGCTGCTGCTGCTGCTGATCCTGGTGCTGCTGCTGCTGCTAGTAATGGTGCTGCTGCTGCTGCTGCTGGGGTTTGCAATGCTGCTGCTGCAGCTGCTGTTGTTCTTGCTGCTGCACAGGACAGTTGCCTGCTGTGCAGATTGCTGCTTTGGCTTGTGGGCTGTTTCCGAGTTTGCAATTTGCTGCTGCTGCTGCTGCTGCTGCTGCTGCTGCTGCTGCTGCTGCTGCTCAGGGCTGATAGCGAAGCACCTGCATGTGACCTTCCAGACGCGGCCCGTGGCCTTCGTGCGCTGCAGCGGGGGAGCAGCAGGAGAAGCAGCAGCAGCAGCAGTTTGTTTGGCCCCCTGCAGCAGCAGCAGCAGCTTGCGGCGGTCCTGGTCCGTGTCTGCTGCTGCTGTTGCTGCTGAGCTGCAGCGGCAGCAGCAAGACACCGTGAGCCTCAAGTTCTGTCTGGAGTGGTTTGCTGCTGCTTCGGAGCAGCAGAAGCAGCAGCTCTGCGGCGCCGCCGACCCCCCCCCCGCAGCAGCAGCAGCAGCAGCAGCAGCAGCAACAGCAGCAGCAGCAGCAGCAGCAGCAGCAGATCTGCAGAATGAACGCAAAGCCCTGCAAGCTGCTGTGCTGCTGCAGCTGCTGGATGCTGCTGGGCTCTTCAGCGAAAGCGGCGGCAGCACTGTCTTTGGCTCCGCTCTTGCTTCTGTGCCTTTTGAGTTTCAGGTTTGTTTAATTAATTAAATTAATTAATTAAATTAATTAAATTAAATAAATTAAATTAAATTAATTAAATTAATTAAATTAATTAAATTAAATTAAATTAATTAATTTAATTAAATTAGTTTAATTAATTTTATTTGCCGAGTTGTTCAGCAGCTCTGTGCGCTCGGCGCTTGCTGCTCGTCGGGTTCAGTGCTGCTGCTGCTGCTGCTGTTGCTGTTGCTGCTGCTGCTGCTGGTCATGCTGCTGTTGCTGCTGCTGCTGCTGCTGCTGCTGCTGGATTTCGACTGCAGTTCGCGTGGCGGGCTTTGAGTTGGAAAAAGGAATATTTGAATTGAATTAAATTAATTTGAATTAAATTAAATTAAAATGAATTTTTATTTTGATTTGAAAGAAATTGAATTGAGGAATTAATTCTCATTTTTAGTTTAAATCGACTCCAGTTGCTGCTGCAGCAGCAGCTGCTGCAGTCTTTTTGCCATTTGCTGCACAGTATTTCATTTAATTTATATTTCAAATAAGACTTTAATAAAAATAATATAATTAAACATAAAATAATATAATTAGACATATTTATTCATTAATTAATATCCCTTTGTTGCTCGTGGCGCTGCTGCGGCGGCTTTGCTGCTGCTGCTGCTGCTGCTGCTGCTGCTGCTGGGCGTTCGCCTCCCCTCCCCCCCGAATCGCCGCCACTCCCGCTGCTGCTGCTGCTGCTGCTGCTGCTGCTGCTGCAGGAAGCAATGTTTATTTGTCTGGAGCTGCTGCGGCTGGGCTTTCTGAGCGGAGATCCTCTGGAGAGTTTGCCGGGGCGTCCCTTCCCTCCGGGTGTACAGACAGCTCTGATGCAGCCATATCCGAGCGAAGCTGCTGCTGCTGCTGCTGCTGCGGGGGGCGCAGCAGCAGCAGCAGCAGCGGGGGGCGGCGCAGCAGCAGCAGCAGCAGCCGGCGCGCGCGACGTGCAGCGCGCGGGGCTGCTGCTGCAGCGCGTGGCCTCGCTGCTGCCGCTGCAGCTGCGGCAGCAGCAACCTTGGCTTGCTGCTGTTTGCATGGATCTTTTGGGATTTAATTGTCTTGTGAATTTAATTCGAAATGCATTTCAAGAACTCACGCAGACTGCCCTCGTCGGCATGCTGCTGCAGCACCCGCACCTAGTGAGCTGCTGCTGCTGCTGCTGCTGCTGCTGTTGCTGTTGCTGTTGCTGTTGCTGCTGCTGCTGCTGCTGCTGCTGGGGTTGCTGCTGCAGCAGTCGTTGCTGCAGCAGGCGCTGCTGCCGGAACTCGAGCTAGGGAGGCTGCTGCGGATTGGTGCTGCTGCCGCTGCTGCTGCTGCTGCTGCGCGCCTCCCCCTGCTGCTGCTGCTGCACGGCTCCCTGTGCTGCTGCTGCTGCTGCTGCTGCTGCTGCTGCTGCAGGCGAAGGTGCTGCCGCGGCCAGGAGACGCAGCGTTTGGATCTTTCTTGCCTTCTTTTGCTGCTAGTGGCTGCTCGCTGGGTTTGGTGTTTCGCTTTTTGCTGCACTACGGGGGGCCCCCAGGTCTTGCTGCTTTCGAGGGGGCTGTTGCTGCTGCTTTTCCTGCTGCTGCAGCGCCGCTGCAGGACCTTTGTGCTGCTGCTGCTCTCTGGGGACACCTTCGAGAAGCAATTCGGGGCCTCAGTCTTGCTGTTGATGTTGCTGAACTTTGGACGGAAGTGCAGCAGGCCGACGCGCTGCTGCAGCAGCAGCTGCAGCACACCGGCCTCTGCACCCACAAGGCCTACACCCATAGGCGCCCCTGAAGCAGCAGCAGCAGCAGCAGCAGCAGCAGCAGCAGCAGCAGCAGCAGCGGCAGCAGGCACGAACTCTAGGGCTTTGGCTTGTCTTGAGACAGGCAGAAGCAAAGAAGCACCAAAGGGGCACTTCGCATTTATCTTTTAACGCAAAACCAAAAACCAAATTTAACGTTTTGTCCCGAGTTGCTGCAGCAACAGCTGCAGCAGCAGCAGCTGCAGCAGCAGCAGCAGCAGCTGCAGCAGCAGCAGCAGCTGCTGCTGCTGCTGCAGCTGCCGCTGCAGCTTGCCGCGGCAGCTCAGAAGCGTGTGAGAGGAGTGTAGAGCAGCGGCAGACAGTCCACTGTGCGCTGCTGCTGCTGCTGCTGCTGTTGCTGCTGCTGCTGCTGCTGCTGTTGCTGCTGCTGCTGCTGCTGCTTTGATATAACAGTGACAGTGCTGGTGTTTGGCCCCTGCAGCTGCTGCAGCAGCTGCTGCGGGTCGTCGGTGTACAGACACAGGCGGTCGAAGCCCTCGGCGAGGTCCACCATGTCTGCAGCAAAAAGGCGAATTTAATTAATTTAATTAATTTAATTAAATTTAATTAATTAAATTAAATTAAATTAAATTAATTTAATTTAATTAAATTAATTAAACCAAAAGACATCAATAATACGCCGAGGTGAGCAGCAGCAGCTTCGGGCTGCTCGAAAGACCGGACTGGCCCCGGCTGCTGCAGCAGCAGCAGCAGAACAGCAGCAGCAGCAAAAGAGCACACGAAGCAGCAGCAGCAGCAGCAGCAGCAAAACAGCGCACACACACACAGCAGCAGCGGCAAAACAGCAGCAGCAGCAGCAGGACGGACCTCGAAGTCCCCCCATCGGTATCAGTTGCTGCCCCTCTCTGCCTCTGCCCCTGGGGGCCCCCTTGGGGGCCCCTGCTGCTGCTGCAGCAGCAGCAGCAGCAGCAGCAGCAGCAGGATGTTCTTGAGAAGCAAAAGAGAATCTGGTTTCGTGTAAACTGCAGGAAACGCCACAAGAGCATTTCATGGGCGAATTGAATCCGCTGCAGCCCTGGGGGCCCCCCTTGGGGGCCCCCCGGGGGGCCCCCAGGGGGGCCCCCCTGGGGGCCCCCAGGGGGGCCCCCCGGGTAGGGGGGCCCCCCTTGTTAAGGGGCCCCTTGGCGAGACTGGTTTGGCTGCTTTTGTCTGCTGCAGCAGTTCTGCTGCTGCTGCTGCTGCTGCTGCTGCCGCTGCTGGGTCTGGAGTCCGCCTTGGGCCGGGCCCGCGCCGCCGCTGCTCCTGCTGCTCCTGCTGCTGCTGCTGCTGCTGCTGCTGCTGCTGCTGCTGCTTTGGGGGCCTTGCAAATGAGGCAGCGGCGGCTGCGGGGGCTGTGGTCTCTGAAGGAGTGGCGGCAGCAGCAGCAAAAGTCTGCAGAGCCCTGGACGGGGACGAAGGCGAACTGGGGGCAGCAGCAGCCAGGCACGCGGCAGGGCACCCGCAGCTGCTGCTGCTGCTGCTGCTGCTGCTGCTGCTGCTGCTGCTGCTGCTGCTGCTGGTATATGTTGTGTTCGCGGAAAGAGTGGCCGCAGAAGCAGCGGCTAAAGGGCCCCACTGTGCGGCAGCGCAGCCCCGAAGTGACGCAAACCCAATAAGCGCAAAGCGGGTCAGCAGCAGCAGCAGCAGCAGCAGCACGCACCTTCTCGTACTCCTGCAGCAGCAGCAGCAGCAGCAGCAGCAGCAGCAGCAGCAGATGCAGGCGGGGAATCCTTTCTATTTCTACACTACTGACATGCGTATATGTGTTGAATATGCATTTAATATTTATTAATGGATTTATTAATTATATTTTTAATTTGCATTAAAAATATATTTTTATTAAGTTTTGCAATTAAAGGACTTTTCAGGTGTACAGACACCTCGGGGGACAAAAGACGATCCCCAGCTGTCGATCCCACGAGGGCGTCGTATTCCAAATAAGCAGCAACGTGGCGAGCTGCTTCTTCCCCCATCTTTGCTGCTGCTGCTGCTGCTGCTGTTGCTGCTGCTGCAGGGGTGGCTGCTGCAGGGGTGGCTGCTGCTGGGGTGGCGTCTGTGGCTTCTGCTGCTGTGGCTGCTGCTACTGTTGCTGCTGCTGCTGCTACTGCTGCTGCTGCTGCTGCTGCTGCTGCTGCAAACAATCCTGCTGCAGCAGACGCTGCAGATTGCAGTGGCACGGTGTCAGGCTGACTTGCCCAGTCTGCTGCTGCTGCTGCTTGCCAGTCAAAAGCTGCTGCTGCTGCTGTTGCTGCTGCTTGCCGTGCTGCTGCCTTCGACGCGGCTGCTACTTTTGCTGCTGCTCAGAGCTTTCCTGCTGCTGCTTAGACTTGTTCTTGCTGGCGTTTGTTCTGCTGCAGCAACAGCTAGCTGCAGCAGCTGCTGCTGCAGTGCTTCCTGTTGCTGCCTGCTGCAGCAGGACTCTCCTCAGCTTCTGCTGCTTCGCTTCCAGTTGGTGCTGCTGCTGCTTGCAGCGCCAAGCACGTCACCCAGGCAACAGCAGCAGCTGCTGCTGCTGCTGCAGCTGACTTCCGCTGCAGCTAGCTGATGCCGTTAACTGCTGCAGTTGCTGCTGCTGCCTTTGTTGCTGCTGCTGCTGCAGTTCCATCTAAAGATTTGCTCTGTCACTTTGGCTTGGGTCTGTGCGGCACACCAGGCCCAGAGTTCACCGCCAAAGGGGCCTCGGCTTGGAGTTAATTTAAATTAAAACCAAATATTAATTTCCAGATTCAAAATAAATAAATAAACTTGAAGGGAAGAGGAGAAAGAAAGAAAACGCGCAGGGGTCACCTCTGCGGTGTATGTACAGCCAGCTGAGGCCTCGGGGCTTTGCGTGCTGCGCTTCAGGAGCCCGTCAAAGGGAAATAAAAGAATTATTTTGATAATAATTAATTAAAAATGAATTAATAGTTCATTTTAAAACCAAATTGACTCAAAAAGCCCAAAATAAATGCAAAGCAAAGATGCCTTCGTTGCACACCGGGGGAGCGCCGCAGCCGCTCTCTTCGGGTGTACATACACCTGAAAACACCTCCTGCAAGCTTTTCGCCAATCAAATCAATTCCCATTTAATTTGTTTTTCAAATTTAAACTCATAAACGAAATTATAAAACTCTTCAGCGAAAGAAATACCGAAAGCCAGCGCCCCGTGCTGCTCCTTGGGCTGTCTGTACACCCCAGAAGACCAGCACCACTCATTGCATGCAGATCTGCACAGAAGTCAAAACTATAAATATAAAACATAATAAATAAAATATAAATATTTATAAATGCTCATTTATAAATGTTTATTTATAAATGCATTCAGATCTTACGCACAAACTTCCCCAAACCTCTGCAGGCGCAGCACCGGGGCCTCTGTGAACTTCTATAGACAGAGCCGCTGTTCATATTATATTTTCGCAGATATTTATTTATATTTGAATAAACATTATTATTTTTCATTTAAACTCAAATATAATTAACAAACTTTGATTTATTTTCAATAAATGTTCGCAAACATCTTTTTAAATCTCCACATTTTGGTGAACTTCATTTCACACAGCCAAAAACTAAATCTTCAACAGTGCGCAGCAGCAGCAGCAGAGCAGCAGCAAACTGCTGCTGCAGCCCCAGGCCCAACGCGCACTGACACAGCTTGCTGCAGCTAGCCACAGGTTGCTGCAGCTAGCCACAGGTTGCTGCAGCTAGCCACAGGTTGCTGCAGCTAGCCACAGGCTGCTGCAGCTAGCCATAAGTTGCTCCAGCTAGCCACAGGTTGCTACAGCTAGCCACAGGTTGCTACAGCTAGTCGCAGCTTGCTGCAGCTTGCTGCAGCTTGCTGCAGCTAAGCGGAGAAGGCGACAGCTAGCTGCAGCTAGCTAGCAGCTAGCTGCAGTTGAGCCCAAATAGCTGCGGCTAGCCACAGCTAGCCACAGCCAGCTACTCTGGGCCGCAGCTCGGTGCAGCGACTCGCAGCAGCTAGCTGCAGCTAGCCACAGCTAGCCACAATTAGCCACAGCTAACTGCAGCTAGCCACAGCTAGCCACAATCAGCCACAGCTAGCCACAGCTAACCGCAGCTAGCCACAGCTAGCCGCAGCTAGCCACAGCTAGCCACAGCTAGCCACAGCTAGCCACAGCTAGCCACAGCTGGTTTCCAAAAGCCCCCGCGGCTGCGGCGCTGCCCCGCCTCAGCGTCTTCGCTGCCTGTTCTTGTCTTGCTGCGGAAGGTCCAAGCTGCAGCAACAGCAACAGCAGCAGCAGCAGCAGCAGCAGCAGCAATGGGAAGCTTACAATGCGTGGCACGCATGTGAAACCTAGAGACTGCCTAAAGTTTTGGACGGGGTCAGCAGCAGCAGCAGCAGCAGCAGCAGCAGCAGCAGCAGCAACAACAACACCAACAACAACAGACAGGACGAGGCAGCTAAGCTTTCATGCTTCATCCTGCTGCAGTGTTTCCCGTAGCTGCTGCAGCAGTTACCCTTCCGCGAACTTCCTGTATTGCTGCTGCTGCTGCTGCTGCTGCTGCTGCTGCTGTTGCTGGTGTCGGCGCGTCTTTGAGTTGGGCTCTTTCTGCTGCTTCTCTTTCGCTGCTCCACTGCTGCTGCTGCTGCGGCTGCTGCTGCAGCTGCTGCTGCTGCTGCGGCTGCGGTTGCCAGTTGCGCTTTCCCTGTTCCTGTGGTGGTTCGTGCTGCAGTGCAAGACCAGCAGCAGCAGCAGCAGCAGCAGCAGCAGCAGCAGAGGAGTGAAACGCTTCATAAAGAAGGCATGCGAACATAAGCAGCAACAGACGAAGACAGCAGCAGACAGGCCAGCAGCAGCAGCAGCAGCAGCAACAGCAGCAGAAGCAGTGCCAGCAGCAAAAGGCAAAGACGCAAACGGCTGAAGCAGCCACAGAAGCAGCAGCAGAACAGCAGCGCAGCAGCAACTAAGAAAGCCTGCTGTCTCTGCTGCTGCAGTGTACGTACACCTCAGTCTCCCGCAGCACACAGGGGCTGCTCTCGTCTTCCATCCAGATGTTTGCTGCTGGAGGCTCTGCTGCTGCTGCTGCTGCTGCTGCTGCTGTGTCCTCTGCTGCTGCTGCCCAGACGCTGTAGCGCCCTCCCCCAGGCCCGTCTTTGAGAGCAGCAGCAAGCAGCCGCAGCACGCGAGCTGAGTCTGCTGCTGCTGCTGCTGTTGCTGCTGCTGGCGGCGTTGCTGCTGTTGCTGCTGCTGCTGCTGCTGCTGTAGGTTGCTGCTGCTGCTGCTGTCCTTTACTTCCCTCTCGTGTGTCACCTTGGCAGGGACTCCGTAGTCGCCTCTTGCTGCTGCTGCTGCTGCTGCTGCTGCTGCTGCTGGAGTTGCTGCTGTTCTTTTCTGCAGCTGCGTCAAGGCCAGAAAGCCGATCTCCCAAAGCAGCGAGTCGTCTTTCTGCTGCTGCTGCTGCTGCTGCTGCGGCTGCTGCTGCTGCAATATCATCCTGCGGTGCCTCTTCACCTTGCTGCGGCTCCTCCGAAGAAAAAAAACCTTCCGGATGCTGCTGCTGCTGCTGCTGCTGCTGCTGCTGCTGGCGTTCAAGCAGCGTTGCTGCTGCTGTCGGAGTCGGAATATGCGCGCTTACCGATGCTGCATCCGGATCTGCTGCTGCAGCTGCCTCTACTGGTGCCGCTGCCTCTGCTGCTGCTGCTGCTGCTGCTGCCTCTGCTGCTGCTGCTGCCTCTGCTGCTGCGGCGGCTTCTGCCGTGTGCCGCACTGCTGCAGGAAGCTGCTCCTCCAGTTGCAGGCGCCTCTGAGAGCAGCAGCAGCAGCAGCAGCAGCAGCAGCAAAACTATGTTTTGGACTGAGAGGCAGCAATAGTAGCAGCAGCAACAAAAGCAACAGCAGCAGCGATAGCAGCAACAGCAGCAAAAGCAGGGCGGTTTGCAACAGCAGAAAGGCAAGCACCGGCTAGCTAGTTAGCTGGCTAGCTATCTAGCTAGCTAGCTAGACAAATAGCTAGCCAGCTAGCTAGCCACCCAGCTAGCTAGCCACCCGGCTAGCTAGCCACCCAGCTAGCTAGCTACCCAGCTAGTTAGCTTTGTCTGCATAAACAGCTGGACGGTCCGCTAGCTAGCTAGTTAGCTGCTGCTCACTAACGAACTAGCTAGCTGGCCCATTACTTAGCTAGCTGGCTAGCTGGCTAGCTAGCTAGCTGGCTAGCTAGCTAGCTAGCTGGCTAGCTGACTGCCTAGCTAGCTAGCTAGCAGGCTCACTGCAAGACTGATCAGCTGATTGGCCTCCGCTGCAGTAAGCGGCAGCAGCAAAGGGGCCGCCAAACTGCCCTCAGTGTCCGCCGCACTGCTGCTGCTGCTGCTGCTGCTGCTGCTGCTGCTGCGCCGGCGGCGCTGCCGCTGCTGCTGTCGGTCAACTGCTGCTTGTAGAGACCGCATCAAGAGGTTTCCAAAGAACATCAGCAGCTGCGGCTGCAGCTCTGGCCTGCTGCTGCTGCTGCTGTCGCTGCGTGACACGCGCTGCTGCTGCTGCTGCTGCTGCTGCTGCAGCAGCTGCTGCTGCTGCTGGAACTTCACGGCAGGACGGAGCACTTCTATGCTCCGCAGCATCCGCAGCACATCTCGAGGGGAGCAGCGCCAGCATTCCGGCATTGCTGCAGCAACTGCAGCAGCAGCAAAAGCGGTAATGTCCTCAACTGCGCTCTTGTCTGCTGCTGCTGCTGCTGCTGCTGCTGCTGGCTGCTGCAGCACCTCATTCGCCTGCAGCAATTCAGCTGCTGCCAGTAGAAGTTGCGACAGAGCCTTTGTCGACAGCCGCTGCAGTTGCAGCTGAAGCGGCTGCTGCTGCTGCTGCTGCTGCTGATGCGTTTGCTGCTGCTGCTGCTGCTGCTGCTGCTGCCGGGTTTGCGCTGCTGCAGACTCATCACCGGATCTGTTAAGGAGGCAACGCAGCAGCAGCAACTCAGTTTCAAAAAGAGGTACTCCAAACCCTTGAGATGCAGCAGCAGCAAACCGACGGGGCAGAGCTGCTGCTGCTGCTGCAGCTGATGTTGCTGCTGCTGCAGCGGGAGAAGCAAACCGCCGGCGCCTTCCGCTTCTGAAGCCCCCCTGTTTCCCTTCCACCACTTTGCTGCTGCTGCTGCTGCTGCTGCTGCAGTTGCTGTGAGCTGCTGCAGCAAGGAGCGCGGGGCCAGCATCACTGCCCGCCGCATTCACGTCTCCTGCGTCTCCAGCTGCTGCTGCTGCTGCTGCTGCTGCTGCTGCGGGTGCAGGTGCTGCAGCATCAGCAGCAGCAAGAATTGCGAGCCAAAGAGAACCATCACTGCAGCAGCAGCATGCCTCCGTCGCAGCCGCATGAGCAGCAGCAGGAAGGGCAGCAAAGCTGCAGCAAACTACCTTTAACGGCTTCCACAGGTCCACCTGGCAGCAGCAGCAGCAGCAGCAGCAGCAGCAGCAGCAGCGAGACACAACAGGAGGAACACAGGATTTAGCTTGCTGCAGGGCAATTCAGGTGAACGCGGCGTGCAGCACCATTCGCAGCAGCAGCAGCAGCAGCAGCAGCAGCAGCAGCAGGTCGCAATCAGGAAAGCAGCAGCAGCAGTAGTAAGCTACAATCAGCAGCAGCAGCAGCAGCAGCAGCAGCAAACGCACTCAACACTAGCAGATCAACAGCAGCAGCAGCAGAGGCAGCAGGAAGGGCAGCGCCAGCAACGCAACCAAATCGAACAGCAGCAGCAGCAGCAGCAACACGGCAGCAGCAGCAGCAACAGCAGCAGCAGCAATAGCAGCAGCAGCCTACTTGTGCTTTTGTTGCTTCTCTAAAAGTAAGGGCCACAAGACGATATGTCTCCGCGAGGTCCCACGTCTCAGTGCTGCTGCTGCTGCTGCTGCTGCTGCTGCTGTTGCTGCAGCTGCTGCTGCCGTTGCTGCTGCTGCTACCTTCGGGAACCTCGTCCCCTGAATGCTGCTGCTGCTTCGGCTGCTGCTGCAGCAGCTGCTGCTGCAGCTGCTGCACCGCTGCTGAGCTGCAGGCAGCAGCAAGGAAGCGATGCTGCAGGGCAAGAAGCGCTGCAGCAGCCTCAGCAGCAGCAGCAGCAAGGCTGTGGCTCTCTGCTACGCTGCTGCAGAGGCTGTCGCTGCTGCTGCTGCTGCTGCTGCTGCTGCTGTGGGGCCCCGACAGGAAGACTCCAATGATGCGGGCCAGTCGTGCAGGCAGCTGCTGCAGCAGCTTCAGCTGCTGCGGTGCTGCAGCAGCAACTGCAGATGTTTGCTGCTCCGCTGCTGTGAACTGCTGCAGCGCTGCTGCTGCTGCTGCAGCAACACTGCGCTCTGCTGCTGCTGCCTCTGCAGCAGCAAAAGGGAGCCCTTGCAGCGCGTCCAGCAGGCAGCAGACAGCTGCGGCTCGGCGGTGCAGCAGCTCAATAACTTGTGGCGGGTTCTGCTGCAGCAGCAGCAGTTGCTGCTGCTGCTGCTGCTGCTGCTGCTGCTGCTGCTGCTGGGCAAACTGCAGCGCAGTGTTACCAATGAACCCCCGCAATTGCTTCTCAAAGAGCTGCAGCTGCAGCAGCTGCTGCTGCAGCATGCTGATCTGCCGCCTTGCAAGCTTTTCCCGTGACTTACAATGCTGCTGCTGCTGCTGCTGCTGCTGCTGCTGCTGCTGCTGCTGCTCGATGTCCCGCTGGCACTGCTGCAGCGCCGCACGCCGGTTGCTGCAGAGGGCTGACAAAACAGCAGCAGCAGCACTTAGCTGCTCCACAGGAAGAGCAGCAGCAGCGCGCTGCAGCAGCGGCAGCAGCTGCTGCAGCAGCTCTACTGAGGAGCATCGCAGCAGCAGCAGCTGCTGCAGGAACTGCAGCAGCGCAGCAGGAGGCAGAGAAGGCAGTCGTGCTGCTTGCTGCTGCAGCAGCTGCAGCTGCCGCTGGTGCTCATCTGGGCAATCCACGCTGACACTGCTGCAACTGCTGCTGCTGCTGCTGCTGCTGCTGCTGCTGCTGTTGCTGCTGCTGTGACTACTGGCGCTGCTGCTAACGGCCCTCGCTTGTTGCAGCAGCGGCGTTGTCTTCCGCAATCCTGCTGCTGCTGCTGCTGCTGCTGCTGCTGCCGGTGCTGCTGCAGAGCAACTCCAGAAGCAAACAGCAGCAGCAGCGTGAGCAAAAGGCAGCCCAGCGGCTCGCGCTCCTTCCGGCCGCAGTTGTGCTGCTGCTGCTGCTGCTGCTGCTGCTGCTGCTGCGCTACATCTCCTTTGAATCGGTATGTGACCAGAACAGTAGAATATTGGTGATGCAGTTACTCCTGCATCTGCAGCAGCAGCAGCAGCAGCAGCTGCTGCTGCTGCTGCTGCTGCTGCTGGTTTGTTTATCTGTGCTAAGCTGCAACGCAGAATGCCTCGAGCAGCAGCAGCAGCAGCAACAACTGCAGCAGCTGCGGCACTATCCATTTGCTGCTTGGCCCCCGCTGCTGCTGCGCCATTCGTCACCAGAGGAGCAGCTGCAGTTGCTGTTGTTGCAGTTGCTGCTGCTGCTGCTGCTGCTGCTGCAGAAGCAGCAGCATCTCCACAGTGTGTGTTCTTAAGGATATAAATAAATAAGAAATTTGAGAGCCCAGGGCCCCGTAGATCTAGGGCCGTGAGCTGCTTCGATGCTGCTGCTGCTGCTGCTGCTGCTGCCGAACCGCTAGCAGCAGCATCACTAGCAGCAGCAGCAGCAGCAGCTGCTGCTGCTGCTGCGAGGCCGCTATATAATATTTTATAGTTTAGAGTCAGTGCTGCCTTATTTGAAGTTTGTGTGTTTGGCTGCTAGGTGATACGAGGCTGGGGCTTAAGGAGGCGCAGCAGCAGCAGCAAGCGCTGCTGCTGCTGCTGTTGCTGCTGCTGCATGCAGCCAGGGCAGCAGCAGCAGCGGCTGCTGTGGGGCCGTGGGGCCCCACAAGTGCTCACAAATTTGGGCTCTAGGCCTTTCTACAGGTTTAATTTTCTTTTAATTGGAAGCTGCAGCAGCGGAAGACGCAGCAGCAGCAGCTTCGGCAGAAGGATCTTTGCAGCAGCAGCAGCAGCAGCAGCAGCAGCAGCAAGGGCTTCGGCAGCGGCCGCGACCTTCCTTGGGCCTTCTTACCCTCGTGCTGCTGCTAGTCGTCAGGGGCAGCAGCAGCAGCAGCAACGGCGAGCAGCTTCAGTGCAGCAGGAGCAGCAGCAGGGGCAGCTGCTGCTGCAGCTGCAGCAACTGCAGCAACTGCAGCAGGTCTCCGGCTTCAGCAGCATGGAAGGATACACGGGGGGAGACTTCCCCCGAGCTGCTCCTGCGCGCAAGCAGCAGCAGCAGCAGCAGCAGCAGCAGCGCGGGGGGTCGAAGCAGCGGGGGAGCAGCGCGAGGGGCAGCGGCAGCAGCAAGAGCAGCAGCAGCAAGAGCAGCAGCAGCAGCAACAACAGCAAAAACCCAAACGAATTCCAGCTGTCCTTTCCGTTCCTGCAGTCAGCTTCTGGCGCAGCAGCAGAGCAGCAGCAGCAGCAGCAGGACGAAGCAGCCTTTGCTGCAGCAGCAAACAATGAGGACTCAGCAGCAGCAGCAGCAGCAGCAGCTTTCAAAGCCCCCCTAAAAAAAGGCGCGCTGCTGCTGGGCATTGTTGCTGAAGTCCACACGACGCAGCTGCTGCTGCAGCTGCCTTACGGGCTAGTGGGCTACGTGCACAGCAGCCACACTTTGGAGCAGCAGCAGCAGCAGCAGCAGCAGCAGCAGCAGCAGCAGCAGCGGAAAGGGAAGGGCCAGCAGCAGAAGCAGCAGGGGCAGCCCGAGACGGCCTATGAGCAGCAGCTGCTGCAGCGCTTCTTCGTGGGGCAGCTGCTGCCCTGCGTGGTTATTGGCACGCCGGACAGCAGCAGCAGCAGCAGCAGCAGCAGCAGCAGCAGCAGCGGGGCCTACGAGCTGTCGCTGCGGCCGTCGCTGTGCAACGCAGGGCTCGCGCTGCAGCTGCTGCAGCAGGGAATGCTGCTTCCAGCAAGTGTTGCTTCAGTTGAGGAGCACGGTTTGCTGCTGAGCTTCGGGCTGCAGCAACAAGGCAGCAGCAGCAGCAGCAGCAGCACCCGCGCCTTCCTTCCGCTGCAGCAGCAGCAGCTGCTGCTGCAGCAGCACAACCTGCTGCTGCTGCCGGGGGCGGTCTTCCCTGTGCTGCTTCAGGAGGTAAATGCTGCGTCCAATACCATCATTTGCGCAGCAGCAGCAGAGCCGCTAGCAGCAGCAGCAGCAGCAGGAGCAGCAGCAGCAGCAGCAGCTTCTGCAACGCCGCTGCTGTCGCCCTTGGGGCTGCAGCAGCAGCTCTCGTGGGACAGCCTGAGGCCTGGGCTGCTGCTGGAGTGCCGCGTGCTGCGGCCTCTGCTGCGCGCCGCAGCAGCAGCAGCAGCAAAGAAGAAGAAGAGCAGCAGCAGCAGCAGCAGCAGCAGCAAAAGGGAAACAGCAGCAGCAGAACTGCCCCACATGCAGGGCCTAGAGCTGAAGTGCCTCAGCAGCGTCACTGCGGTGGTGCTGCACCCCCACGTGGCTCACCCCGCGCTGCTGCAGCAGCAGCAGCAGCAGCAGCAGCAGTTGCTGCTGGCGGCCAGCAGCAAGAAGGGCAAGCAGAAAGGCGGCGAGCAGCAGCAGGAGGAAGCCAGCAGCAGCGCCTGCAGCAACGACAGCAGCAGCAGCAGCAGCAGCAGCAGCGGTGCAGCAACGGAGCAGCAGCTGCAGCAGCAATTCGACGCGTGGCTGCTGCAGCTGCTGCAGCTGCAGCAGCACAGAGTGTATGGACGCGTTGTTGCTGTGCTGCCGCAGCAGCGAACTCTCTTCGTGTCTTTGCTGCCCCACATTGTGGGGTGGCAGCAGCAGCAGCTGCTGCAGCTGCTGCCGCCCCACTTGCTGCTGCCGGGCACCAGAGTTAAGGCCCCGCTCGCAGTCCTCAGAAACAGCAGCAGCAGCAGCAGCAGCAGCGAAGCAGCAAACTGTGAGGGGCAGCGGGCGCTGCTGCCTTTGCACAAGCTGCAGCAGCAGCTGCTGCTGCAGAATGCCAGCACTGACGGCGACGAGGCTGCTGCTGAAGCCGACAGCAGCAGCAGCAGCAGCAGCAGCAGCAGCAGCAGCAGCAGCAGCGCTGCGCAGTTCGCGGTGGTGCGCATCCCGCCGGCTCTGGACGTGGCCGCCGGCAGCAGCAGCAGCAGCAAACGGAAGCGGGAGCAGCAGCAGCAGCAGCAGCAGCAGCACATAAGCCGCTGCCGGCTGCTGTTTGTCCACTGGCTAGACTTAGAAGTTGTTGCTGCTGCTGCTGCTGCGCTGCTGTCCGAAGGCCTGGTTTCCCCAGTGGAGGCGCAGCCAGGAGCAGCAATTTTGGGCACTGTTATAAGAGCAGTGAGAAGCAGCAGCAGCAGCAGCAGCAGCAGCAGCAGACTCCGGCAGCAGCAGCAGCAGCGGCAGACCGTCGAGCAGCAGCCTGCGGGAGTCGTTGTGCGGTGAGTCGTCAGCTCCAGGCTGGCTTTTTGCTGCTGCTGCTGCTGCTGCTGCTGCTGCTGCTGCTGCTGCTGCTTGTGCTGCAGCTCCTGCTGCTGCTGCAGCTCCTGCTCCTGCTGCTACCCCCGCTGCTGCTGCTGTTGCTGCTGCTTGTGCTGCAGCTCTTGCTGCTTCAGTTGCTTTTAGCTTCCAGATCTATCTGGAGCCCAGGTATTCATGTGGATTTTGCTGCTGCTGCTGCTGCTGCTGCTGCTGCTGCTGCAGGGTGTCTTCTTCTGTGAGGGGCTGGCTGCCGCTTTGCTGCTTCAGCGATGTGCCGCTGCAGCAGCTGCCACCAGATGCAGCAGCAGGAGCCACAATGAGTGTCCGCGTGCTGCGGCGGTTTTGCTGCAGCAGCTGCGACTTTTTGGAGTCGTCTGCTGCTGCTGCTGCTGCTGTTCTTCGGGGCTGCTGCAGCAGCACCGGCAGCAGCAGCAGCCACGTCTCTGCGCCCGCCACTCACAGGCCTTGCCAGTACCCAATCAGCAGCAGCAGCAGCAGCAGCAGCAGCAGCAGCAGCAGCAGCACGTTTTCTGTGTTTGAAAGGGGCATGCTTGCTGCTGCTCTCATGGGCATGGGTGGGGGGGGCGGCGGCCGTTTGCTGCTGACGAAGCGAAAGTTGCTGCTGAAGCTGCAGTCTCCTTTGCTGCCGCGGCTGCTGCAGCCGTCTGCTGCTGCTGCTGCTGCTGCTGCTGCTGCAGCAGCAGCAGGCGCAGCAGCGCAGCAGGAAAGGAGGCAGCACGAAGTGCAGCCAGTAATTGAGAAAGGCCGAATTCTTCTTGGCTACGTCAGCGAGTTGCGCTTGCTGCCTCGCAAACAGCAGCAGCAGCAAAAGCAGCAGCAGCAGCAGCAGCAGCAGCAGCAGCAGCAGGTGGTGCTGCGGTTCTTCGGCCCCTTCAAAGCCAAACTGTCCGAGGCGGACATTCAAGCAGCAGAAGAGAGTGGCAAAGAGTTCACACTAGGTACCCTTGTCAAGGTAAGCAAGCAGCAGCAGCAGCTGCTGCAGCAGCAGCAACAGCAGCAGCAAAAGCAGCAGCAGCAGCAACAGCAACAGCAGCAGCAGCAGCAATAGCAGTAGCAGTAGCAGCAGTAGCCGGAATAGCAGCAGCAGAAAGAAGGCATTGCTAGATGAGCTTCGCTCTGGAGCGTAAAGACACGAAACTCTTTACAGCCATCCTTGCATTTGCTGCTGCTGCTGTTGCTGCTGCTGCTGCTGCTGCTGCTGCTGCTGCTGTTTCTGGTTGCCTGCGCAGGTGGTGGTGACGGCGGTGAATATGTCCCGCGGCACCTTCGAGGTCTCCACTGACCTGAGTGCAGCAGCAGCAGCAGCAGCAACAGCAAAAACAGCAGCAGCAGCAGCAAATGGCCGCAGCAGCAGCCAGCCCAAGACTCTTGCTGTTGGGGCTGTGGTGTCTGGCGAGGAGGCGCGAGTGGTGTCTGTACACGAGAACGGCGTGCTGCTGCTGCTGCCGAACTGCCGCAGGGCGGTCTCCAAGCAGCAGCAGGAGCAGCAGCAGGAGCAGCAGCAGCAGCAGCAGCAGCAGCAGCAGCAGCAGAAAGGCGTGCTGGGCTTTGTGCCGACGCTGCATCTTGCAGACGAGGTTTCTGTCGCTGCGGCCCTCCAGAAGTACCTCAAGGTAGTCTGCTGCTGTTCGTGCTGCTGCTGCTGCTGCTGCTGGTTCCTGCTACTGCTGCTGCTGCTGCTTGTCTTGCTGCTGCAGCCAAATGCTGCTGCTGCTGCTGCGGGTCTCGCTGCAGGTGGGCGCTGCGCTGCCCTTCGAGGGCGTCGTTCTTGCTGCTGCTTTTGCGGTGACTTTGGGCGAGACGCAACGGTCTGCTGCTGCTGCTGCTGCGTTTGCCGTCTGCTGCTGCTGCTGCTGCTGCGGTGAGCATGTGCCGTCCACTCCTGCTGCCTGTTCGTGTGCTGCTGCTTTCTGCTGCCTGGCTGCAGCCTCGTCCCGCCTGTCCGTGCGCAGCAGCAGCAGCAGCAGCAGCAGCAGCAGCAGCAGCAGCGGGAGTTACGGGGCGTCGCGGTACTTCGCGCGGAACAGCAGCGAGCTGCAGCGCGTGCATGCAGCAGCAGGGCAGCAGAGTCTGCTGCTGTGGGGCTACGTAAGACAAGCAGCAAACTTCGGAGTCTTTGTTTGTCTTGGGGCTTTGCATGCGCAAGCTGTTAGTCCTTTTCGGCACTTAGCAGCAGACTTCGTGTCTTCGCAGCAGCAGCTGGC